GTTTCACCGATTAAACATTCAATCGTAGAATTTGTTTTTGCTATTTTCATGCTACTCTTATTATTTTAACTTATCTGAACTCGAGAAATTGGATGGCATGTCAAAAGAAGCTTTAATTTCACCAATAATTATGTTTAAGAAGATGCCTACGCGGATGATTAAGTGCTTTCCTACTTGCATGATGAGCCTAAAACACGTGCAACAAAGAAAAAAGCCGATGAACGAATGGAATTTGACTTGCACGAGAGGAGGCTCACTTGGTGGGAGTGAGTGATGCAAAAGCTCTAACTCCTTACTTTGTGCCTACCATGAGATGCATACAATAATCCATGCTAGTGCTGCTCTGTCTTAGCTCATTCAACCCATTTTGGTTGACTAACAGTTTGCATCTGAGATCACACCTCCGAAGAGAGGAGAGGAGGAGGAGGAGGAAAACGTGAGCTTGCCGTTCCATCACGTGAAATGTCACGGAAGAGGAACGAGACACAACGAGTAGGGGAGGAATCGCGTTCTCCTCCTTTCTTCGCTGTAGAATAGAATCGCCAATGGTTCACGTGAAAGAGGAGCCCGTCCCCACCGACCACCCTCACGTCAATCCCCCCTCACCCTCAGTAGCCAACAGACGCAAGGGAAAGCCTCCTCCTCCTCCTCCATTGCACAAACGGCCGCCACCCCTCCACTGACCTCTTCCCCCTTCCTGCAATGGCGGCACCGTTCATGTGGGAACGGTTTAAGGTCAGTGTGAATCGAGGTCTGCATGCATGCTTGATCTTCGTTTCCTTTTGCTTAAGACAAAAGTAGTGATAGCAGCAAACAGATTCGTATTGTGCTTCATCCGATTTCACAGGGCTTTGAGTCTGCTGTTGTCTCAGCATTTTGGCTTGGCGTGACACTCGAAGAACAGATAGAAACTCCAATTCATTCATACTCAATTCGGTGGTTAGACTCCTCCGACGAGAGCGAGAGAGAACGAGAGAGATTCCATTAACAACACTGGCCTTATCCACAAATATACCTCATCTTTGGAATTGGCAGTCCCTCTGCTTGGATTAGATGCGCTAAGCCCATCCGTCCCACCATCTGCATCAGGGAATCACTTCTTCCCAAAGATGTGAGGCAATTGTCGTAAAGAGAGATTCCTCCACCTCCTCCTCCTCAAATTCGACTTCCACGCCAACTCTTCCTCCTCGAGAGGGATATGTCCTCCACAGCAACCATGTGAAGAAGCATTATGGCATGTTGCATTAATTCTCCAACATAAAGCGTTGGATATATTCTTACTCCAAGCACTCGCACATCGTCCAAAATCTTCCATGCCGACCGACCCTTGGGTTCTCGTGCAATCAATCTAGGAAATGACAGCTTCATCTCTTCCTCTTCCCTCCTCCCCCCCTCTGCACCTTGTTTTTACTACGGTGGCTTGCGCGGAGAAAAGGCATCTGATTTAAAAGCCTTCCGAACTGCTGCAGTCCCTTTCCGATGCCTCTCACCCTTTTCCCTCTCTTTTTAACACCCCATCGTTCCAAAGATCACACGCACACTACACTACCACTACACTGCGGTGGAGAACACCGGCACCAACATGCTCTCCCTCTCCCCTCTCCCCTTCCTCCTCTCCCTCTTCTTTCTTCCTCAGCTCTCCCTCTCCCTCAACCGAGAAGGCCTCTCCCTTCTGCAAGCTAAGAATTCCCTAGCTGACCCCGGCAACGCCCTCTCCGACTGGAACCCACTGGACTCTACCCCATGCAACTGGACTGGAGTCACCTGCGGCTCCACCTCACTCGCCGTCACCTCTCTTTACCTCTCCGGCTTGGCTCTTGCAGGCCCCTTTCCTTCCGCCCTTTGTCGTCTCCCTCACCTTTCTTTCCTCTCCCTTGCCTCCAACGTGCTCAACGACACCCTCCCCTCCTCCTCCCTTCTCGGCTGCTCCTCCCTCGCCTACCTCGACCTCACGCGGAACTCCTTCGTCGGCCCCCTCCCTTCTTCCCTCCCTTCCATCCTCCCCGACCTCGTGCACCTCGACCTCAAGTTCAACAACTTTTCAGGCGACATACCGCCTTCTTTCGGTCAATTTCCCCGTCTCCGAATCCTCTCCTTGGTGGCCAACCAGCTCACCGGCCCCGTTCCTTCCTTTCTCTCTAACGTAACTTCTCTTCGCGAGCTTAACCTTTCTTATAACGCCTTCTCTCCCTCCCCCATTCCGGTTTCCTTTGCCAACCTGACTCAGCTCCGCATTCTCTGGCTCGCCGGCTGCAACCTCGTCGGCCCTGTTCCGCCGGACCTTGGCCGCCTTTCGTCGCTCGTCAACCTCGACCTTGCTTATAATTCGCTCTCCGGCCCCATTCCCGAATCGATCACGGGGCTCTCGTCGGCCGTCCAAATCGAGCTCTACGCCAATTCTCTCTCTGGTACCCTTCCCCGTGGCCTCTCCAACCTTACTGCGCTCCGCTTCTTCGATGCTTCCATGAACAAACTCTACGGTCATCTTCCCGAAGACATCTTCCTTGCTCCCAATCTTGCAAATCTCCAGCTTTACGAGAATAACCTCGTTGGTCTTATTCCTCAGAGCATTTCCCGGTGCAAGAATCTCGCCGACCTCCGTCTGTTCTCCAACCAGCTCGATGGTCCTCTCCCTTTCGATTTCGGCAAGCATTTCCCTCTCGGTTTTATTGATCTTTCAGATAACTTCCTATCTGGCGAGATTCCTGCGAGCATCTGCGACGGTGGCGTGTTATCGGAGCTTCTTTTGCTTAACAATTCATTCTCAGGGAGCTTGCCGCAGAGTCTTGGCCGGTGCACATCCCTCACCCGCGTGCGATTACCCAACAACCGCCTCTCCGGCGAGGTCCCCCCTGCTTTTTGGGGCCTACCCCATGTGTGGCTTTTCGAGCTCTCCGGAAACTTCTTCTGCGGCAGCATCTCACCGGTGATATCAGGCGCAGCTAATCTCTCCATGCTACTAATCTCCGATAACCAGTTCAGTGGGCCAATTCCAGAGGAAATAGGAGCTCTTTCGAACTTGTACGAGTTCTCTGCCGCCAATAACATGCTGTCTGGACCTCTGCCGATGGGTCTGCGGTACTTGACCAAGCTGGGAGAGTTGGACCTCCATAATAACTCCCTCTCTGGTGAACTCCCCCGAGGAATCCTGTCATGGAAGAAGCTTAGCCAGCTGAACCTCGCTGACAACGATATCTCCGGTGGGGTCCCGCCGGAGCTTGGGGACCTCCCGGTGCTCAACTATCTCGACCTCTCGGGCAACAAACTCAGCGGAGAGATCCCAATGGAACTCCAGAACCTAAATCTTATCGAATTCAATCTCTCCAACAACCAGCTCTCCGGCGGTCTGCCTCCTTTGCTTGCGACACAGACATACCAAAATAGCTTCTTGGGCAATCCGGGTCTCTGCGGGGAATTGAACGGTTTCTGTCCCAGCCCGCGAGGTGTCAAACCGGAGCGCCATGTATTCGTCTGGCTGCTTCGGTCGGTCTTTATACTTGCTTCATTGGTGCTCGTGACTGGAGCAGCTTGGTTCTATTGGAGATACAGAAATCTGAAGAAGGCAGCGCTTGGTATGGACAATCCCAAGTGGAAGTTCACCTCGTTCTATAAGCTTGGTTTCAGTGAGGAGGAGATCCCGGTTTCCCTCGACGAAGACAACGTTATCGGTAGCGGAGCTTCCGGTCAAGTCTACAAGGTGGTGTTGAGCAATGGAGAGACCGTGGCGGTGAAGAAGCTCTGGGGAACCTCCAAGAAGAACGACATAGTTCCGAGCTTCGGCGACGGTTTCGAAGCCGAGGTGGAGATGCTGGGGAAGATTCGTCACAAGAACATCGTGAAGCTGTGGTGCTGCTGCACTAACATTGACTCCAAGCTTCTGGTCTTTGAATACATGCCGAATGGAAGCTTAGGTGACCAGCTGCATGGCGCCAAGGGAGGTTTGCTGGACTGGCGAACGAGGTACAAGATTGCACTGGATGCGGCTGAGGGTCTGTCGTACCTTCACCATGACTGTCTTCCGCCCATCGTCCACAGGGATGTTAAATCCAACAACATACTGTTGGATGCAGAGTTTGGAGCGAAAGTCTCCGACTTTGGCGTCGCCAAAGCCATCGTGAAGGGACCAAAGTCGATGTCTGTGATTGCTGGCTCCTGCGGATACATCGCACCAGGTTTGCTCATTTCATCCTCGGTGTTTGCTCTTCTTGAGATCTTAGGATCAGTGCGTGGAATGTATTCACTTGTTCTCTTGTCTCGTTGTCCATTTTCTGCAGAGTACGCCTATACTCTCCGGGTTACCGAGAAGAGCGACATATATAGTTTTGGGGTGGTGATTCTGGAATTGATCACGGGAAAATTTCCTATGGATCCTGAGCTTGGAGAGAGGGATTTGGCGCAGTGGGTGTGCAGCACCTTGGAGCAGAAAGGAGTGGAAAGCGTGATCGATCCCAGGCTTAGTCTCTGTTTCAAGGAGGAGATACGCGAGGTGCTCGCCGTTGGCCTCCTCTGCACCAACTTCCTCCCACTGAATCGGCCGCCGATGAGGACGGTGGTGAAGCTGCTGCTCGACGTGGCTCCTGTCAACAAGTTGAAGCCGCCATTGAAGGACCTAAACCCATCTCCTTGAGTGCCCGATACCGTAGAATGTGACAACCTGTGATTCCTCCAGCGAATAGCTTCTCCTATGGAGGGTTCTGCACCATTACACTGTGATGAGAATCGAATTAACTGTGCTACTATATCTGAAGGAATTTGTTCCAATGCATCCTTCCCAGCAAGCCAATCATCTTCGTTGCTTAGCGGATTTCTGTGGCCGTCGCCACCAGAGAAAAAAAAAAGTATTTGTGCTTGCCATTTGTACTCTGTATCCGTTCCATGCCATCTTCCTATGTGAGATGCCACAGAATCCGCATTGCCATGTGTTTAGTTTAGCATCATCGACTGTTTCGGGAACAGATGTAGATGGAAGATACGTTTGACCGTCAGACTCTCATCTCTTTGACAGCCAAAACTCAATCAGGATCATTATCTTCTACGCGATCTCTTCCCCGAGAAAAAAATACTGTTCTTTAAGAACTGTGTGTTAGCTTCGTTGATACTGTATTTGTTCTCATTATTCAATCAACATATCTTTTCGGAAGGTGAAACCGATTACTATTTTGTTAGCTTTCAAATCGAACAGCACATTTGGTGACAGAATGGGACAAGTAGTTGTGTGTATGGAGCAAACTCTGTCCTTGATTTGAGCTGTAATTGTTCTGCTCTGCGGCCCTTTGTTCCGAGTTTGGTGCACCAACATAGGCGCAGACAAACTACTCTCCCCACCTGCTCTCGTTTGATCTAGTGGAAGATCTATGGTTGTTCTACCCATCTCTCATGACAGGGGAAACGGAATAGACTCGAAGAGTACTACTGCATGCTGCGAGCACCAAACCTAAAGAAGATCCTACACATTTTCCTAACAATCTCATCTGAATCAACCAAACATCTCCCACCTTTATTCACCTTTCTTCACCCCCCTCACATCTGATCCTTGAAGCCGAGCAAGTAATACCGCCATGAATCACGAGGACTCCACCATCAGCGTAGACGCTGCCATCGCACTCGTTGGCGTCGTTCTCCTTGCTCTCAGCGTCGTCCTCTACGTAATCTGCAAGAAGAGGTGCGCCGTAGACCCTGACGATACTAGCACCGTGGCAATTCTCCCCGCCCACTCTCACCAGCTGAGCGACGTCGAGTCTGCCACCGACGGATTCCACGGCTCCCGTGTCGTCGGCCAGGGCCGTCTCGGCACCGTCTACAAGGCCACCTCCGCCACCGGGGATACCTACACCGTGAAGCGCATCCACCACCATTTAGTCCTCGGTAACCCGGGCGTGAGCTTCTCTTCCCGGATGAAGTCGCTCTCGTACGCCAACCACCCCAACCTAGTCCCCATCTTGGGCTTCTCCGAGGCACCCGGCGAGAGGCTCATCATCTCCGAATTCGTCGGCAACACGAAGAGCCTGGACTACCATCTGCACCAGAGCTACCTCGAGGACTGTCGTCGGCCGTCATCCGGGCTCTTGAGTTGGGATATCCGGATAAGGGTCGCGGCGGGGACGGCGCGCGGGATCGAGCACCTGCACGACGGGAGCGTGCCAGGAATCGTGCACGGGTGCATCAAACCCAGCAACATCATGCTCGACATGGACTTTTGCGCCAGGATCTGCGACTACGGGCTGAGCTTCTTGGTGGAGCCGGGTGACAGGAGGGAGATGGTCGGGTACAGAGACGGGGAAGGCGGCGGGGCGTGCAAGGAGAACGACGTGTACGGTTTGGGAGTGGTTTTGCTGGAGCTGTTGAGCGGGAGGAGGTGCGACGGGGGGAAGCTGGTGGAGTGGGCTCTGCCTTTGATCAGGGAGTGCAGAGTCCAGGAGATTCTCGACGGGAGAATGGGGCTGCCGATGGACCTGACGCCACTGACGAGGATGGCGAAGGTGGCGTCGGCGTGCGTCGGCAATGGGCGGAAGACCCGGCCGTCCATCGCTCATGTGGCAGCCATTTTGAGCAGCTTGGAGGCACAACCTTGACAAGCTTCCAAAGCTGTATATGTATGATCTCTATAGAAGACCTTTGTGCTTGGTGCAATTAGATTGGTTTCATCATGGGATTGGATGTCCAACTGGGGTCGCAAGCACTTTACAATATGAAGAGAAACGATTTAGGAGAAGCTGAATACCTTACAAACAATTACAGATTGCAAGTAGAGTAGTTGTTTTAGATGACATGTTAAAGTTCCTCATCATCAAAGATGACCAAAACCTCTGCAGGCGACTCCAGAGGAAACTGGAATAGCTCTGCAGGTTGCATGAAGCTACCCTGCTCGTTTCCTTCTTGTCACCATTCGCTCCCGCCAGCTTCATGATGAGCACACTGGATTCCTATATACCTGTGAATCATGGCCAGAACTGGTTTGGGCAATTGGCTCGTCACTAATGTTTGCTTTCTGAGTATGAGCTACTTTAAAGTCAGTAAAAAAAATGAAAGATTCGGGGAATGCTAAGCCTTTGAAATGACTAATTTACACAAAGATGACCGGAAAAGTTGAAGGCATAGTTGTGAATCTATATCTCATCATCTGGTTGTGAGTGAACGATACATGTTAATTAGCCATGTGTTACTGATGTGTCGATAAACAAGAATTAAACCATATTTGAGATCATTGATGGTGTGCAATAACTTGAAATATGATCGTGAAGTTGACATGCTATTTTGGGAACTGGAACAAAGCTAAATAGAGCAACACTGGATCATAAAAATAAGTAGACATCAATGAACAATAAATTAGATGAGTTGGCCACATCAACGTCGACAAGTGTCCATCTTTTTGACCTACATGTAGCCTCTTATGCCCACTTTGCTGTCACTGTTTGGTACGTGAACTGATAGCAGCAGGTTATCGGAGGCAGCATTGAGGCGTGGCCGTGACCCATGACTCGCAATCTGGTTTCCTCCCTCTTGCATCAAAGCTACTTTTTGCTTGGGTCCTCCTGCACCGAAAAGATAGCAGACCTGAAGTGGATTAGGGTTATGATGTCGCTAATGAACAAACCCTATGTCGATCATGCTCCTAATCTCAAAAACTTTGCCGGTCACCACGAACACAGCTGCTGCGAGTTCAGTCATGTCGAACTATTATTGGAGTTGCACCATTCCTGCTCGTCGTTGATGTTGGATTAAGCGGAATCCAAGATAAGAACTCGAACTCATCAGTATCTGTGGATGCACCACCAGGGATGGTAACAGCAAAAGGGAAAGAAAAGGATGCGTGATGTTAAAAGGTGTGCTGCTGTGGCATCTCAAGAGAGAGAGAGAGAGAGAGAGATAGAGACTGATCTCAGTTGTCATTCTCTGGCGGGCCCTTCGTCAGTGCTAGCGTTTACCTATCCCGATTACCCTCGTCTATGTGAAAGAGAGGTAGAATTCTGCGATGGACGTAAAGGGAAGGGGTCCAGCCAAAGTTGCTGTGTCCACCAAAGGAGGGGGTGGAGACACAAAGCACAAACGCAACAAAGCCGACAGGGGGAAAAAGAGTTCACCGCCGGTGTTGGGGCCCGGCTCCAGTCTATTCGGGTGTGTTGGGGGCTCCCACCTACCATGATCATGGGTGGTGATGGGTCCTCCCCTCTCACTACACCAAATCATTGTCGTCCATAACTGGTGATGGGTCCTCCCTCTCCAGTGCTCATCCACTCGTCCCTCTCTCTCTCTCTCTCTCTCTTCATGTTCATAGAGTGGTCATCTATGTCTGAGGGACAATAAACAAATGGGAAGCCCTGTGCATGGCACCCGGCACTGGAGATAGAGAGAGTAGTTTTAACCAAAGATCATGAAGGAGGAGGGGGAGGGGGGAAAAGGATCGAGAGGTGCTCCGGTTTACCCGGGGGGGTCCTTCTGCCGGCGAAAGGGGTAGTTAAAGGACAGTAAACGTTACCCTACAAAAGTGAGAGGAGGGTTTGCATGGAGGAGAGAGAGAGAGGCTTGCACAGAGTTCTTATGGAGCATTGATGGACGTACTTAAAATCTCGGTCCCTGCGAGCACAGCGCCGGTAGCTCACCTCCCCCCACCATGTGAGCCTCTTCCTGTTCGCGGACATCCCGTGGGTCCCTGCAGCTGCCAGCGCAGGCCCCACTAATTAAGCAGGCCCAACGTTTCGTCTCGCCAACCGTCAATAATAATAATAATAATTATTATTATTATTATCATTAAACGAGGAGGATAAATTTAGTGGTGAAGAAATATATATAATATTGTTGAAGAAAAAATCTATCATAAAAATCATTTTGGTGGATGAATTGACTTGAGAAGGTGATATGAAACATGAAAGAGAACGCCATTGTTGGGACTATTGGAACTCACATCTGGATATGGACATGTATAATCCAATCCATTACATTCGAAATATGAATGAATGATTGAATGAATATAGATTCTCACACGTTTATATTGGTTGATAATGACCCTCTCGAAAAGGTCTTTATACTTAAATATAAAAATGACTGTTCTGCCCTCGGTTTCATTATTCAATGTATTATTTTTATTATAATTCATAATTTTATGAATAATCAAATTCTAAATTATTCTCGACTTAATCGTCGTTCTGACTATACTAATCGGACACACTCAATAAAAGAAAATAGATATATATCAGTATTAAGATCATATCCGTTGGCTATCGCGAGATATGAGATTAAAATCTTTGTTATATTCGATACCATTCGATACTAATCATAATTAGAATCTTAACATGGTTTTTACTGAAGAGTAGAGGAGGAGGAGGAGGAGAAGGTGGTTTGGATGGAAACTTTCCGACAATTCCATCAATCAATCGGCGACCACATTATTTTGGTGTCTGCAAGACACACAGTTCTGCAACTGGCGCTTGATGGATGACTCCCATGGCGTCAAACCTGGTCGAGTCCAATGTAGCTATTTATGTCTCACCTAATACCTAATCTTGGGTGCGACCTCCACCACAACCCCCTCGATTCCGATGGCACTCTCCTAATCAAACGACGCAATTTGCAGAGCCAAAGCAGTGGATCTCAGCCCGATCGACACCTCCATCTCCAGCCAAAATCTACCGACCTTATCCCCACTGCAGTGGCAGCAGACAGACAGGACCGGCCTCCTGCAACACCAACAAGAGGAGGAGGAACAAAAACAGCGAGCAGTGTGGGAGGGCCATGCAAAAACCTCCACCTCCACAGGGACGAGAAAGCCACTGCCTTTATGCTTGCTGCAGTGCTTCGAAAAAACCTTTCTTTTCCATGCCTTTTCTTTTGTGTTTCTCTCAATGAGGGGGTGGCACAT